CAATCAAATTTCTTAAAAACTTTTCTTTTTCAAAAATAACAAATTTTTTTGTTTACTATTTAGTATTATAATTCACATTTCGAGAAAAAAAATATATACTGTTTTTCATCGTAGATAATTAAATACAGCTTGAAATATTTATTTGTTTTTCTTAAATAGGAAAAAAAACAAAATATATTTCTAATAGAAAATTTTAAGCATTTATTTTAATTCAAAATCTTTACATAACTATCTCATACTGAAAAAAATAGCATTTTCGAATATACTTAACATCCATAATAATTGAAAGAATTTTGATCTTAATTATATAGAATAAATGCAATGGTTATGACATATTCTGAGAGTATTACACACACGATTACTGTACTGATAGAAAAATAATCAATTGAACAAGTTGCCATGATTATAATATTTATTCTCATCTTATCAGCAAATTAGTTTAACATTTTAAGTACATCACTTTTCTTAATACTTTTCCATTTTTCAGTAATTTTTGTGTAGTTTCATAATAAAATATCGAAGAAAATCTAAATATAGCTAATCTATAGCAATGACAAAAGTAAAGCATAAAAAATTTTCCTGTTTTTTTTTGATAGAAAGAATCACAACACGAATAAATAAAATCATAATATAATTTTACTATAAAAGCTCAAGATGCTAACCTCCACTACTTTCCGTGTGAGAGCAAGAATAAAAATGAACACAAAGATATAGGTAAAATGGTTTTCCATACTCTTTCCCTTATATAAATCCTTAATGTCTCGCTCTCATCCCGAGACTTCATGTTCTCATTTACTCTTGATCTATTCTAAACAAGATTAAAATTTTCAATTTCTCTTAATAATCTTTGACATATATTTTTCTATTTTCTATAGACACGCAAATTAACTGCTTTTAAATGATCAGTCATTTATCATCAATGAAAATATTATGCTAAACAAGTAAAATACGCAGTTACTTTAATATTTAACATAGACCTTCAACTTGTGAAGCAAGATTCTTACAGGTAAGATAATAGCTTTTATTTATGTGGGTGTTTAAGAATCATTAATACGGTTATTATAAGCTAATACATATGATTGCTTCAATATTTAATAGTGATTTTGTATTTATTGTAGGAGAACGATACAATACAACTGATTTTTATCTTATTATGTGCACCTACACATTAAATCATATATATATAATATATCTCTCATAAAAGTACGAAGATAATATTATTCAATCGAATATCTGATCATAATCATTGAAGATTTCATCATATAGAGGTAACGCAAAAGACAATTACTTTTATCGAAACATGTTTATTTTGATCTTTGATTGTAAATTTATCAAAGGACAATCTATCAACTAATACAGTTTTATTTTAATATTATGATTTTAGTAAAATTTTATTCAAATAAATCCTAGAATTAAATATATTTATTTTGAATAATTACTTTGATGTTTAAGCTATTTATATGTATGTATTATATATAATATCAATACAAAATAAATCATCTGGAATCTAATATATCTATATTTTCAATAGATTAACATTAGAAAATCAGTCTAATAATTTATTTTAAAAAAATTTCTTTTCTTAAATATTTTCATTTGATTAAGATTTTGTAGAATTTTATGAATTGTTTTGAAAAAAATAAAAATAAATATTTTACTTTTATTAAGACTAAAATTAAGATTAAGAAAATAAGTTTTTCATAAAAGTACAATTGAAATTATTGAGAGAAAAAAAATGAAAAGATTTGATTAAACTATTTGAAGAATGGATATAGGTGTGGTGTAAATGTGGGTCAGTTATCAGTGTCTCTCGTTTATTCACACCCACCCGCATCCAGATCTATAGTCACACCCATTCACTCAATGCTTTGTATTTCTATAGAACAGTGAGTTGCTGTCATCGTTAACGTTAATTGAATTAACTTATATCTTAGTGGATTATTTTAACCAGTGGAATCGATACAAAATGTCCTTCACCGGTGGAGCATCTCTTAGAAAAAAAATCGTTACAGTCATAAGAAAGTAGAGAAAAACAAAAACAATTGTTAGTCGTCGACATATTCGTTGAGAAATACAGTGTTCATTATTCCATGGCCATGGACAACCAAACATACCGATACCCAAAAGAAAACCCATCAAACCACCACCAAAATGAGCTGCATGCCCTATACTAACCTTACGATAACCTATTGTGAATATCGCAATACGCTTCGGAACTACAGCCAATAGGAGCAACTGTATGACTATAAAAAGACGACGACGTTGATCGGTGTTCGTTTTGATTGCCATAAGACGCTCCATAATGAAGAAAAACTGTAGACCATATACAGCACCAGAAGCTCCAATACCGACTAAAAAAATAACGAAAGTTATAAACTCGGTATGCAATCTTCGACTATCGTATTTTCTGAATCTATGAAAATAATCCTGATCAAAATCAACAGTCATCTGATGTTCGAGATCATGAATTTTTTAACTTATTTAACTTTCTACTTACTTGCGATTCTACGTAACATCGTAAAAGCTAGACTAGCACTCAAAGTACAAAGCCAGTAGATAATAACTATACGAATTGAACCATATTTACGTTCGAGTGGAATTCCATACAGTAGTTCTAACGACACATTATTTTTTAAGTGTGACCAGTCCACATGAAGCAGATTAGAAGTTATCATTCGCCATAATTGATGTGGATACATGAAAGAGAAACACTTCTTTCTAAGAATATCATCATAGTTACATGTAATATTTCGATACAATAATCCACATGGGACTTTACGCAGACGAATATCATCAGATGCTGGTCGCATACATGGAAGGTAACGCTTTCCAACATCATATAATAAACGAGATAAGCTTGGATCTTTCGAACGACTGCTGATGTATCTCAAGAGATGAATGGAAATATGTAAAACAGATACAAAGATGATAAATATTGGATAATAATGCTTTTCATTTAGTTCATCATCCAAAGTAAAGATTCGTCGAAGCCATAAATATACGGTGTTTTTCTTACGAGGAATTGGTTCTTCTACTCGTACTGACAATGATTCTTCCATTTCAAGATCAATATTATCGTAATTATTCATTCTTCCAGGAAAATTGTAATCTCCTCTTTTCTTATGCCGTCAAATCGGAAATGTAATGCCATTTTATAGGTGTTGGAAGAGGAAAGAGATTATAGAGTATTATATTTTTTGTTCTGATCTATAATCTATATTTACATTGGTTCGAAAACGTTGTTTTCTATTTCCTCCATCTCATCTGCAAGAACAAGAATTAATCAAACGAAAGTTCATATTTTGATAACATTCGAAATAATATTTTTCTTTCTACACTAATTGTAATTCAAGAGCACTACTCTTGACAACATCTGATTATTGAATTCTATCCTACATTCTAATAACATTCAATTAAGTTAGAATGCGCATTTTTCATATTTCGTGTCTATCGCCAACCAAATAAGAAATGTAAGTGTATATGTTCTATTAGTTATGAGTATAACATTTGCATTGACATCCTTTCATTGATGATAAAAATCTTTTGAAGAAGAATAAATAATTCCACAAGACCATCTGTTCTATACACCATCTGATTAGATTTTAGCTAATCGATAGTATTATTTTTACTGAAAGGTGTTATTAATTTGTCTATATCTTACTAGATTCTTTAGTTCTCGAGTCGATACTGGCAAAGTTCAAAGATTTTCATATTCATCTTTTTAAATATGTTCAATTGATCATATAGATAAAGGCTAAGACTATTTCGTTGGTTCTTGATGAGGATGTGTGTATGACTAGGATACACTTACACCGTAACTTTTAACAGCGTTTGATATTTTATTAATCATGATATATAGGTAATTCTTCTTATTCTGCTTCTCATTTTTAGCTTTTAGTAATTCACCATATTTATTAAACATGTTTTTCAATAATGATGTTTGCTGTACTATACCCATCTTCAAAAAGACATAAAAAACAATTCTATTTTGTTTATTTCTTATGATAATAAACACAACGACCAAGATATCCTTGAAATTGAAAAATATTCGAAGTTCAGTTAAATACGATCTATCGCTTTTTTTAGTTATCACACCACCACATGTAATGGCTTTTCCGATTAATTAAAGTCTTCCTATAATTTCTTTGTATAACATTATGATGTACAAAAATATTCTTTTCTTAAAGTTCACATAACATCTCTCTTGATAATGTGTTATCTTTCGTTCATTCTGTAATGAAGGCGTCAAATATTCTCTAACGTCATTTATATTATGGTAGAAAAATAGAACGATCGAAGAGTAGTGTCAAGAGAAAAAACAGGAAATAGATGACTAACAGAAACCAAAGAAGACAATATCTATAAACATAGAACTGATGACTCATTCTCATCATAAAAGTGTAGGTGTCGATGAGAACTGAATGAAACAAAAAAGAATTCAACTAATCTGCTGTATTTTTTATTATTGTCGTTGATAAGAAAGTCGATACTATTCATTGAAACTATTTGTTTAGTAATTATTTTAGTGGAAACTCATCTATAGTTGATGTATAAATATTTTGTGTTGCTTGAGCGGAAACTAAAAGAGAGAACAGTGTTAGCAGTCAAAGAACGATTGTCTCTTTGCAATTTCTTAGACAACGATCAGTTTTAAGTAAAATTTAACAACAATAGCTACATTGGACTGGATCAAATTGTATCTGAAAAATTTCATTCTTTTTGTATATTTTAATATGTTGCTAGCTGATCGATCTGAAAGATCAACAGAACAAATATAATTGTTGAGGATGTGGGTACGGGTTAATAGAAGACCAACTCCAGCACCCATATCCTCAATTTTCTAATGTCTTGTTTGAGTATTCATACCAGTCATTTAAATAAATTATATGAGTTTCTATAGTAGATATGCTGCATAGGTGAGAATATGAAATCGAAAATGAAATAAATTGATCTAAAAAAATACGAAGTGGAAAATATAACAAAAAGTCATTGTTATGTTTTGTATTCAATTATATAAGGAATTTTATTCTATGATAACCAGGAAATATATGAGTAATACTGTTGAATTTTGAACAATATATTTCAAATGCATTGTTATAAAATCATGAAATATAACTATATAAATACAAAACAAAGTTTTTCTTAGTTCGAAATGAATGCAACTGTTTTAAATATCAGAATTTACTAAATACTCATTTTTTGTCTACTACGATTAATAATATTAGCTGTAAGTTCAATAATGCGAGCATGAAGTTTAATACAGATAAACATTAAATATCACACAGAGAAGATAACATGTTACTTACTTAACATACTAGAATCAAACAAAATAAGAGCTAATATAAAAAAAATTGAATTTTTTAAACTTACACAGCAAAACATTTATGACTGTATAAGATATTTAATAAGTTATTTAATTAAATTGATTTGCTCGTCTGCAGATCTATTTCGCTTAGTTGTTTATTTATTATAATAGAGGAAAAAACAAAAAAAAATTGTGTGGAGGAACAAAAGATTCATTGATGATCAGACGTTGTACTTGTAAACAATTAAGTTGTGTTTGATCATTTGTAAAATTATTCGTCAATGTAATTAGTTGTTCATAGTCAATTTCAAGTTGACAAAGACGAGGTAGATGTGTATATCGATTGAATAACAATTGTTCAATATAATCAATATGTGCTAATGTCACCCGAGGATCCAATAATCGAAGAAATGTAACCATTTGCAAGTTTTCTGTATTATTATTATTATTATTCAATTGTGATTTATTTTTCTGTGGATGAGAATTGCTAATCATTAATACTTCAAGAGAAGGAAAACTTTCAGCAACTTTCTTGAAGAAATAATATTCCCATGGTACATAATCATTAGCAACTAACATTCGAACATGATAGAATATTCCTGCTGAAAATGAAGTGCTCAATCTGATGAAAGTTTTAAATTTAAATGGAAGTGAACAGACATGACAACCATATCTACTTTTTTCTGAAGTATGCTGAACATATGATCCGATTTGTCCGAATCTATTGGAATTAAAACTACGTTGAATATCATCGTTGGAAGGAAAATCATTGATGGATACATTTGTATTGAAAAGATAAGTATAAATATTAAATTGAAATATCTTCAATTGAGATAGATGAATTAGAATATCATGATAAAGATTATTTCCATCGACAACGTCATATGTATCTCTTTTTGAAACAGTCAGAAATAAACTAAGTTCTTCTAAATAAGCCATTCGTTGTATAAGTGGCACAACAAGATCATTGTAGAAATATGTGCCAACATAATTAGTTAATGAGAAATATTTTAATTTCGATAGTTTTGTCTATAAAAGAGATGATTATTAATGAATGTTTAAAGACAAACATGATTTACTATTTTATCAATATCTGATGAAGTTGAAGAGATGTAGTTAACGTACACTAAAAAATGTGATAATAATGGAAAATGACCATCTAATAGAACAAGACAATCGTCAAATGTATTGACTTCTATATCCAGTTTAGTCAATGTAGGACAGATAGGATTTGTCGATGATAGATGATCAATAAATAGATGCCGGCGATTATTTTTAATCGATTGATGAAATATGAATTCAATTAAACATTTTGATATTGATAAAATTAATTCAAATATATTTAACAGATCATTATTATTGTCTGTCTCATCTATGTTTTGGTCAATAATATTAATATTCAAATGTGTAATTTGTTCAACGATCAATTGAATGAGAGCATCATTACCTAGAACACTTTCAATATTTATAGGATTCAGATAAATAATCATTATACCTGTCAGATGTTGTAGAAGTGTTTTACTTGAAAAATTGGTTAATGATAATGAAGAAAGTTTTGGATAACTGATATTATTAAGAATACGTTCGACTGCATGTGGTTGAAAAGTGAGTTTGATAATTTTATCATTGATACGCGGGAGAATTTTTTCACAAAATTAATCAATTATTAAATCATTTACTGGAGAAATTGAATCATCCCATGATTTTATTGTAAAATCTAGTTCACGAACATAGATAGGATCGAATAATAGTTGATCAAGCCGATGATGAAGACCACTTTGACTAAATAATGCATCAACAACATTCATTTTATGTAATATGCAAAGAAGAATTTCATCGGGTAAATCAAGCAAATTCATATTTGCGGAAGTGCAGGCGATATTTCCTATTTTAAATTTATGAATATATATGTTCATTTTCTTTCCCTATTCGTCTGAAAAGACAACGACATCAATTCAGTGACATATTTATTCTGCTTGTATCTAAGAATGTTCACTAAGTGAACGAATCGGCTTGTCCGATGTGCTCAGGATTTTCTGTCTGCATTGTTTTATCGTCATATCATATGTATGAAAAGCATTCAATTGGTTGAAATCGATCGAACAAAGATTGGCAGCTTGGAGAATGATCATGAATCAGACGAAATGTTATTTGTGGGTTAGTGAAAGCTGAGCATGTGGAAAGATAATCACGAAAGAAAAAACAAACTTATATAGATACAGTGTATTGACTGATTAATACATTTCTTTACATTCTAACACAAAAAGTAATAAACAAACAACTATAATGAAATGTTATTAACGATTGAGACGAGTTTAGTTAGAATATAATAAGAACTTGAAATTAAATGTAACGGTCGTTTGGGTATGGGTATAGATGAGGATGAATTTAGATAAACTCCCACCCACCCCACAACTACAATTTGTACTTATGTTTATATTGTTATGTTATATGTGATCTAATTAACATACACTGGTTTATGTCTATTCATTATTTCCTTAAGGTAATTTTCTTTTTCGTGCTCATCTTTCCACGTGCGCAACTTTCAGATTCCCTTACACCCACATCCACTCACCCTCAATATTAATATTGATATTTTCAAAATCAAAATATATCGAATCATATTACAGAATAAAGAAATAAGAAACAAACAAATATGTATATACAGATAAAGCCAAAATGCATTTTTCTTCATCATCACGACAGCCAACTGCTTTTTCATTATCATCTAATCTTCACGATATTTACTCGTATTTTCTCCTTTTTTTGGTCCATTTTTGTTAGTTATTAAATAACATCGTCGATTATCCACTCGAATACGATTCCTCATTGATTCCAATAGATCTTCTAATGTTGAATAACCTAACTGTTCATACGGTAATGGTTGACTACTGTTTTTATTTGAATATTGATGACACAATTCTGTTAATGTAAGTGATGAATTATTATTATTTTGCAAAGATGTTTGCAATAATGAGATAATATTATTTTTAACCACGGTATATGCCACCGAGGAACCACTTTTAAACTAGGTATAAAATGACATACGATCTAGCAGGTACAAGTTTTTCGCTAACTTACCTGTCTTTTATAATCCTCTTTTCTGGAAGAATGAGTGTCGTGCGCGACTACTTTTGCCCGTTTTTCTGTTTGTTCGTTTGTCTTAATTCGTAAATAACACTTGGCTGGCCATTCAGTAAGATCCATGCGCACTACATCTTTCATCGATGATAGAAAACGTGTTAATGTTTCGAAACCTAATTCTCTGTATGGCAACTCTCCAGTATCATAACGACGTTCATATTCTTTACATAGTTCTGTTAATGTTAGCCCGTCGGTAGTTGTTGGAAGAGAGTTGACGTGTGTTGATAATATATATTTAATTCGATCTTTAACGCTGTCATATGTTGGTGGCGATGAAATACATAAAGCGGTAGCCATTTTTTATAAGGATGAAACAATTCTAAAATTAAAGATTTATCTTCTTAAGAGAAGAAATCACTGTTAGAAGTCATGAAATCTGGTACAAAAAAGTCCTACTAGGATTGTTTGTGCGAACCTTTTCTATCCAAAAACACTGGTCCGTTTGATTATCTTCTCTTACTGAATAGTTTCGAACGAACTTTCACTAGCATATTCGAGTTTTACGCGCTCCATTATTATATACTCACAATCCTTCTCTCTGACGAGATACGGTATTTTCTAACAGAAGACTATATCATCTTTTTCAAAAAAACAAGAAAATAAATTATTTTTGAGTTTCAACTTGAAACTTTGCGCAGTTTATTATGAAAGTTTCAAATCTTTTTGTCCCTCCTACGATAAGATAAGAGTATGATAAAAGCTTGTCTTGTGGATTGTTTATATAGACGAGCATATGCGATGCTCGTATGTCAGAATAAAACTAAATAAAGAGATCTGAAACTTTCACCTCGAGGCGAAGTTTCAAATCGGGTATTAAGAAACAATTTTCCTCATGTGTTCTTCGAAAGCACTACATCCTGTCGGTAAAAGTAGCGGAAATATGAAGCATTTCGTCACCAGTGGTCGAAGGATCCAAAGGGTTTTTCTAAGTGTTTATAACTCATTATATGTCACTAAGAAAGAGAAAAATACCTAAATCAATGGGAGATATTACTTGTATTATTGTGTGGAACAAATAACACGAAGTAAATGCGTCTCTTAATAGAAACAAAAAAAACATTCAAAATGTCTCCTTTTCTTCTATTTTCTTCCTACCTCCATGCCTTTTACAAGGGAAAAAGAAAACATACACACACACACAAATATTAACATAAATCAAAGATTAGAATGAAACAGAAAAAAATGTATTTACACAAGTGCTTGTGTTATTGTTAATATTACAGCAGTATCATATGCGACTTCGGATCTTCAATTATTTTGCTCGACGTTGAATCTGTGGCCGTTGAGGATGTGGATGTGATTCTGGATCTTTGTTCTTCATCAATATCCACACTCACATCCTCAAGATGATACTTATTTTCTTTGTGCATATAAAACGAAAACTACCTTTTTTTATAAATCGAGAAGATTAATGGCCGTGCATTAGCCGATCCTGTCCTCCTAACGCAAATCGCACAGCTAATGAGATATAGCCATCTATGCTGTCATTAAAAAATACCATACGAAGAAAAAATCATAAATGAGCAAGCAAAGTAAAAACTGACGTCAATTAAGCTAAACCCATTTATATAACGGCAATACATATAAACAAAATAACAACTACGTAGTCATTCACTCACTCGCTAGTTACTTTTTCGTTCTGTCATTAATACACGTTGACTATTGAGAGCTATTCGTGTTTTGATGCAATGAAAACAAAAGAAAACGTTTATATAAATTTTTCGTTCTCTGTATGACAAGCCTTAATAAAAGAACAAAAAACGTGATTATGATAAAGTTCCTATTATTTCTCCTATCCTTATACAGCAATGCTTATTTTCTAACGTAGAACATCTGAATAGTGTTTATCAAGTAAAATGGAAACATCTAGTACCATGAGTAGTATTTACATGAAAAATTATCAGAGTGCGTGTGTGTATGAATGACTACATGAAAAATGAATATTTTATCATGTTATTCATTTTCAAAAGAAATTTTTTTTTCAATAATTTATTTTAATTACTCCATAAAAAATAATGATAATAGATACGGGAATAATCTATAAAGATCTAAAACACTTATTTATGTAATTATGTAGTTTACCTTAATAATTAAAATCGTTGAATTTAATGAAAAATCTAATCGATATTTATCAGAAGATTTCTTTTCACCCTCATTCTCTTTTTCAAACACAATCAAAATTTAATTCATCGAAAAATCCAATAAAACTCATCTTTTACAATTATTCATTGACAAAGACAACTTTTTTTTTCACAATAATATGTTCATTGTTCAAACAGAAGTTGCTCAACAGACTTTGCCGATAATTTGTTTTTATAGGAAACTATTTCGCTGACAAATTCTTTTGTTGAGAGGAGTTTAACTAAACTGAAGGTGAATGTACTTGTACATTAAGGATATATCAGACATTTTCATCCTTAATATGATGTTGACGAAATGTTCTGTCTACCAATACATTTAGACGAATAACATAATTTCCTCAATTGCATCAGATTTTTTTGTTTGTATTTCGAAGGGGTATTTATTTTTAACTAAGAAGACTACAGTTTTATATCAACAATGTCTAATTGTACAGCACATAAATCCAATTCATTTCATATGAATTCTTTTTCTCTTTCTTTCCAATAACATTTTTTGTGTATTGAGGACGTTGATTGAGGTTTTTTCCCAATCTTGACACATTCTTTTATAATAAAATGCGTTATTGAAAAAAAAGAAAAAAAAACCCACAACTGTTGTTACTTTATAAAACAAACGAAATGAATCATTCCGCGAAAAGAGAATTCAGTCACACACGCACATACATACATAATACCATCCGAAATTTACAAACTATTAGAATTTTTTCAAATTATTTGGTTTAAATAATCTTGTTTGGGTAAGTTTTACATTTAAATCATTGAAAAAAGAGATCTATGCAAGTTCTGTGAGTTCTGAGCTCTTGAGGATTTGTTAATCTATAAACCAACTAGAATCGGCGGAGCGCAAGGAATGTAATACGGTGTGGGCGTCAATATGAGTAAGATATACTCGCTCATACCCTCTCGATGAATTCTCGATGTACTCTTCATTTCTTCGATCTCCAGCTTTCCTGAATTCAGAGAGTATGGGTGGTTCTGATCCGAGTTGGGTGCTCTAAGCTTCTTCATCCACACCCATTCTCACACCATGCACATATTTCATATGAAAGAGGCGAAAATATCTATTTGCATACTGGAGGAAGAGAAAGAGGGATGACTTTCTCATTCTTGTGACAGTTTGTCAATACACTTTTTTAATGATAAGAGCAGCGATAAAAATGTTTATGGACTACGTGCTATAAAGATCCAGTTTATTGCCTCTCCCCCCCCCCCCCCGCTTCAATACATCTCATAAGTAGTCTATTTTTATTCAGCACTGCAGTATATTTTTTTTCAGTATGGCAACAAGTGGTATAGTATCGAACGAAGGTACACCTTTAAATTTTAATCTTCTTATGAGAGAACCGTCTCGAAAAGTTGAGATCGAAAACGGTCACGCGGCGATGGCAGCAAATGAAAGATTTCTGGTCTATTTTGCGAATCAAATCCTCGTCGTTATTGATCGAAATGGAAATGAAAGATTGAAGCTTAATAAATTTATCGATCCCTTAGACATTTGTTGGTCGTCGTATTTAAATAAATTTCTTATTCTTGGAAGTACAGGTCGTTATGGTTTAGATCCGGAAGTAGGTATCGAAGATATTCAAACACCTAAATCCAAGGGGGAAACAGCTGATTATTTGATTAGACGTGATTAGTGTAACGGAAAATAGAATAAATCAAATAAATAATGAATATGAATCTTTTATTGAATAAATAAAAGGAAAATACGACGACAATATAATAATAATAAATAAAATAAAATAGTGATTCCTGTTGCTTCTTTACTGAGCTTAAGGTTCAGACTCTATTCCGTCTTCGAGTCTTCCAATACAATTCAGAATAATTGTATTACCATGTTGAGTCCAACCTTCATCCGAAGTGTTCGTGTTGAGACTGATTATATTATAAAAACCAGAATACGAAAAGAAAGAGAAAAGAAACAGAACAAGAGAAAGATAAATGTGATAGGAGGGGGGGGTATATTTGAGAGGATGTCCACCTATTCTCTTGGCACAATTAGCAGTGATTAATAGTGATTAATAGTGATTAGGAGTGATTAGGAGTGATTAAGGGTGATTAGTAATGATTAAGGATGATTAGAGATGATTAAGGGTGATTATGAGTGATTAGGGATGCTTAAGAGTGATTAGCGATTTCCTAATCAGCTGTTTCCCCCTTGGGTTATTTGGACTTAAAACCAAACAAAAGTATGGCTTAAAAACTTTGCCGCAATCTGATTGGTTTGGACAGACAGACAGAATGACAGATAAACTTTAAGCAGTTTTAGGCCCATAATTTAAACGTGATATAACCCTTTCTTTCAGAAAAGGGAATATTATTGGTAACTCAAGTTTTATTTATCATTTTTCGTTTATTTTATGACTATATTATTCTGTTGATTATCCAGTATTTTTTATTTATCAGTTAAATGCATGCACTATAAAAATCTCTTATACTTTCAAAACAACATTAGACAAAAAGAAACAACGAAAGTTATCACGAAACAGCGAAAAATGGTGGAGTTACTGTCTTTTTATAGAATAAAATATGTTAATTTTTTTTTGCTCATTGTGTTTGTTCACAGCATCCTTTGTTGCGCATGCACAGATATGGGACTTTGTTTCTTCCCATACCATTTTATCTGCGTACTATTTTTGAACTTCTGGTGGTTTATTTGTTGTAACAGATTTCTGATAATCACGTTAAGCATCTTCTGTCTTTGCTCCTTGATCAAGCTCATCTTTCACAAATCCTATTAGGGTCTAAACAATAGAAAAGAAACATCATGCATTTGATAATCTCAGGATACTCACTTTACCTGCTATTTTTATTCTTTATCGTGGGTGCGGGTGTTCTAGTGAATTAAATAACATAGTGTCACATTTAAATCCACACCCTCAATAAATTAAACCATAACACAGCCGAATTTGGAAAAGATTTTTTGACACCGTACTCTCAATAAATCTTAATATTTTTTATTTCAACTTTAAATATTGGCAAAGTGTACTAAACCCTGAACCAATATAGAGTAAATAAAGAAGCGATCTAATTAGCATTACTATGATGTATAAGCTACACAAGAATAAGAAAACACTAATCCGAATTAAATCATGAGTGTTTTGTTGAAGGACAATCAGTATTTTATTATAATAATATTTCTAACAAAAAGAAAAATTCAATTATTTGATTATTTATGGAAATCTTATACGTACTATTGCCATTGGTTTGTCAGTAAATATAATGTTTATAGTTTTATCTTTTTTTTCTAGCATTACAAGAAAGAGAATGTTTGATATTAAAGTCACGTTGTTTTATAGAACGAAAGTCAGGGTGATCGATTCTATGTATAATCAATTGATAATTCTTCTGATACTGTATAAAAACATAATGCTTATTGACGATATCATCGAGAAGGTATGTGAAAAGGAGAAAAACTGTAAAATACTTCGCCGGGAATTTTTGATCATTGATCTTATTAAAGTCGAAATTTATGTTTATAAATAATCGAAGGATTGACAGCAATCGTTTCTGAATCAATTCTTTTAGAAATAAATTGACTATGATATTTGTGCATAAATAATTGAATTGATTTCTGAGATGAACCGTAATATATAATTCAGCTTTGAATCTAAAAAATATTGGAAAAAGTGGATGAATTAATTTTTTAAGGTAAATTTGTATTTTTTTTGTCCTATAGTGTAGTCTTGGGGAACTAAAAATTAGTTGTATTGTATCGTTCTGCTTCAGTAAATATAAAACTACTGTTAAATATCGAAGTAATCATATGTTCCAGTTTATAATAACCATATCAATGTATGAAAGCAGCTTCTCTTCACGTTGTTTTTTAATTTGAATCAATAACGAAAACAGAAAAAAGAAAGCAAAAGCAACAAAGAATGCGAATAACGAAAAATCAGATATGACGTGAAAGAATGTGTGAAGGCATATGAAGATATGACTGTAACACAAGGCTTCTCAAAAACCTACGTAAATAAAAGCCATTATCGTATCTGTACGATCAGCAAGAAAAAAAAATATGTATGACTGATTTCATGTAGAAATATAAAAGATAGTTAATATGGATTATTTTCTATTTTTCTTGTCTCACAAGTTCAAGGTCTATGTTAAATATTAAAATAATTGCATATGTTACGTGTTTAGCACAATATTTTCATTGATGATAAATGACTGATCATTTAAAAGTACTTAATTTGCTTGTCTGTAGAAAATAGAAAAATAAATGTTAAGGATTATTTTACGTAGAGAAGATTATCGAGAGAAATTGAAAATTTCAATCTTGTTTAGAATAGATCAGGAGTAGATGAGAATATGAAGTCTCTGGATGAGAGTGAAATGTTAAGGATTTGTATCAGGAAAAGAGTGTGAATAGAGGTTAGCATTTTGAGCTTTTGTAGTAAAATACATATACATTCGATAAAATTATATTATGATTTTATTTATTCGTGTTGTGATTCTTTCTATCCAAAAAATAGGAAAAATTCTTATGCTTTACTTTTATCATTGATATAGATCAGCTATATTTAGATTTTCTTCGATATTTTATTATAAAACATCACAGAAATAACTGAGAAGTGGAAAAACAAATTAAAACTAATGAAACAAGTAATAAAAAAGAAACCAATACAATTTTATAGCTATTTTGATACTGCTAAACTAATTTGCTCATGAAATAAGAATAAACATTATAATTATGGCAACTTGTTTATAGTCGTTGAATTAATCATTTGTTTATCAGTATGGGTTGGAATTGGAATGAATGATATTGTTAGAACATATCGTCGGTGGAAGATATGCCTCTATCTTCTCTGAAACTTCTGAAAATTATAGCCAAAATAGATATGCGAATGTTGTGTTGTATTAAAGAAACGTTCTATAGAAATTTTATAGCCGGCCGTTTGAGGTATCCATCGGATAAAAATATTTTCAAACATGCTTTTTATTTTGAAGAGTGATCAGTTTATTTGAATTTTTCATAAATATTTAGT